CACGTGATTGTGGGCTTGAGAGAAGCCAAATTGTGTGTTGTTTATATCTGTGTTTACGGGGTTGGGAAGAGGAATGGACGTCGAAGTGGGACTATTAATTAGGTATAAAACGTGCGGTGTATTCTAACTGCTGTACGCACCTTCCACACAGACGGAATTTCAAACTGTCCAAAATATGAAACAGGCACGACCGAAATTTCGTTTTGTAGATATATGGATACAACTTAAATTGTGCATGCATAATGAAGTTTTGTAAAATATCCCTCCCATCTCCAAGACTTGGCATTCCTCTGCGCTGGCACTCTGTATTTACTCTGGTGGCATTGAGTTGAACTTTCTACTGGAGTCTATTACATTCCGTCTCTTTAAAAAAAACCCCTCAGATAACCAACCTTCCGGTGATTGGCTGGATTATTAAGTAACTATTTGCTGAGAGTTACTATTTTGACCTAGTAACTTTCATAACATTTGTGAGTATAATTACTGCTTAGAAAATGTTGATAAACTTAGATCTTCTTTGTCAAGTCAAAGTGTCTGTAATACTAGTTAGTTATTTGGGTCACGATATGACTGAAATACTGCCGATGTGACTTTAAATTTTAACACACTTGTTATTTATACGTTTGGCGTCTATTTGATTATCCAAGAGACTTATTTTAGGGACCAACTATGTATCTGGGAGCCGATCCACAAAGCGTTCGTAATGTTAAGACCTGTCGTTACTCTATAGGTTATCATAGGCTTACGAATGTCGTAGCGCTACTAACGATTTGGTCAATACATTATCAAAGTGTTGTTTATGTTTTCAGTGTTTACTACTGCTGTACGTTGGCTTGGCTATATTGCTTGGACATATATCTGCAGCGGTGGTGTAGCCAAGTAGCCCGAATCGCTCACTTACTCTTACACGTGTCTGCCATGACACATTTCTAAAGCTTTACTGAGGCCTTGAATGTTGTAAGAGCACGTGAGTTTCAGGGTATAGTTCAATTCTTTACTTACGTCACATACGTGTATGCATTTAAGTAAGAAATATGTACTATTGTATTCTTGCTTTCAATTCCTATTGGACTAAGTGCCAGGTTTTGGAGTAGCCTTCATGTTATAATATTCACACCATTGGTTTCAGAACAAAACAAAAAAGACCGGAATGTTTTAATATTTTATTCACATCATATACTAGACTATATACAAAATGCATAAACGGTGCTGCTGTCAACTCGAATTACAAATTATAAGAGTTCATGAATTCACTGCACGGTATAGTGTATTTTAATGTTGGTTGGTTTGTTTAACCAATATTGCAGCTATATGGCGGCGGCCTGTAAATAATCGAGTTTGGACCAGACAATCCAGATTAACAGCATGAGCATCGATCAACGCAATTGGGAAACGATGGCACGTGTCAACCAAGTCATGAAGCCTGACCACCCGATCCCGTTAGTCGCCTCTTATGACAAGCAGGGTTACTGAAGACCAATTCTAACTCGGCTCTTCACGGGTTGTACTTAATGTCACTTGGAGCTTGTTAATCATTCAGTTTACCAAACAAAAGATTTCATTAGGTTTAACAATTGGCTGGCTCTGCATGGTTTTTAACGAACAAGCCACAGGACCAACTTCCACATTGACTTGCTACTGCTACTGCTCATTTCTGGTATCCCCTGCCGTGATATTGCTGGAATATTGCTAAATGTGGCGTAAAACTCAACTCACTCACTCATTCCTTTACCACACTTGTACAGCTTTATGGTTTAACGGAATTAACCAATTCCACATTTCAAAAATATCTTTTCTATTATATTTTTCGGCATGAGAGAGTGAGTTTAGTTTCACGCCGCATTTTAGCAATATTCAAGCAATATCACGGTGGGGTACACCAAAAATGGGTTTCACACATTGTACCCATGTGGGGTTTTCGGCATGAACAAATACTTTCACAGAAATACTGTTGTTGTTTTATTAAAAAGATTTCAATTTGAGATAATGGGGTACGTCCATTTCCTGTAGGTTACGTTCTGATTCAAAGGTTTCATATTCACTCGCCCTTTCAGTATGCTGTTTCCTGACGTTCCGATAGATTGCAGCTAATACTGACATATTTGACTCCATTATGAATATATCCATTTCTCAATGCGTGGATGTGTGCAGTTGTCTTCCGCTATTTGTTCTCGTAGACGTGACAACATGGTAGCAACGAATTTCATACTCCTCAGTTCTGCCAAAATCGTTCCATTGTTTTCGTCTTATTTTTTACATTATAATATCAGTACTTCAGCAATGTACCGTAAAAATAACTTCATATCTTTTTTTCGGTGATACAAAGCCATGCCGAATATTTTGAATAACTGATTATTTTGCATCTGAATTTATATCTAATGTAGGAATGGTCAGTGAGTTCTGGCGATAAATCATTGCCTATACTTCACCTGAGCTGAGTCTTTTTCTCGTCATTTCTCGTTTCCCCACGCAGCTATCGACATGATCCGGGTGGTGAGGTAGCCTAGTGTTGCTGGGTACCGTGAAGACCTGGGTTCGATGGGTACAATGTGACAAAAATGTGATGCAACGAGAAAATAATAGAAACAACGAGAAAATATTCGAAGCCACGAGAAAATAACCGAAGTAATGAAAGTATAATTGAAGTAACGAGAAAACACTGGAAGTAAAGAGTAAATACTCGAAATTTCAAGTTTTTGACAGAAACTTGAAGTAACGAGTAAATGCTCGAAATTTCAAGTTTTACAGAAAAGCAACGAAAAAGTAATCGAGGTAACGAAAAATCAATTGAAACAACGAGAACATTCCCTGTAACAATTGTTTTATGCTACAAAAGTGGCAGCATTAGGCTTTGGTACTAATGCTGGAGGCTTCATAGAAGATGATTATCATGTTCATTGTTTCCCTTCAAAAAATGTATACTAAATCAAATTCCGCACAAGGATCGCCTTACGTTTACACATTAACCGGGAGCATGTGTATCGCAGTAAATGGGATTTAACGAAATTGTGGACTGTGTATCCCAGTTCTTGTTGATACTGATGTTTGTGTGTCTTGAATGAATGAATGAATGAATGAATGAATGAATGAATGAATGAATGAATGAATGAATGAATGAATATCTTTATTTCGCAAGGCGGGTACACACATGTACAGAGCAAAAGGCAAGGAAAGATCTTAAATGCACTCTTGAGTGAGAATACCAAATAATACAGGTATTTACAAAATAGGACAATCATACATCTGCATTACATTTCATCTACGTGCTCAGTAACCGGTATTTCACCTCCAGAAAAGAGAGACAGCATTTCACCTTCTGGCAGTAACATTTGTACAGACACAATGACATGAAAAAGATCTAAAAGTGTGGAAAAGAACTGATTCCTGTTGTACATATATTGTTCACAATGTAGAATTATATAGCAGACATAGTCATTACAGTGTCATTTCTGTCTCTCTCAAGTTTTGTATTATTGAACACAAGGCGACAACTTTGGTGATATTGCGTATTGTTCCTCCTAAAAGTTTCATCAAGTCTGGCTGGATCCTGAACAGTCGGTATCTCATTAATTGCGTGAACGAAGGGAATGTTAGTCGCAATCATAGTGTAGCTGTCATGTTCTTGTGGTTGTTGAACACGTGGTGACTTGAGTTCTTCGGTATTCTTCTTCTGGCAAAGACAACACTTGCTCCAGTCAGTCCGGAATTTAGACGGTCCTATATCTGTATTTGCCATCTTGGTGAATAGTTATCCGGGTATCACAATATAAGAATTATCTGTATTTAGTGAATCAAGGCCGAGGGGTTATCCTTTTGCCCCCTTGATCACAATCACGCACAATATGGTATAGGATACGAGGCTCGGGGCTAAAAAATATATGACCTACACCAAGCTCGATCGTTCATCCAGTGTCATTTAAGTCCCGTGCGATCTGTACACCATCCAGGTAACTACTTGCAAAGCAATGTACAGACCCGTACATTGGTTCGGCTCTCCCGCGCTGGCACACCCGCGTTGACGTCCGCTCTGTTGAGCTACTACTCTACACCTTCCCCTGCAAGTCTCTCAACGCCCCGCACCCCACCCACACCCACCCACTTCGTGTCATGTTCAGTTTGGAAGCCTTGCACAGAAAGATGCTAAACATACAAAACCTCAAACACAACTGCGATATGCATTACCATGCACTTTAGCAGAGTCAGACGTATCGTGAACCTCTTATTTTGCTGAATATTAGGATTTTGGGACCGATATATGGTACAGGGAAGCCAGTGAATGAGTCCAAGGTTCAAAATTCGGATTCTACATAGTCAAAAATGTATGATTTGACACCAAGATCGTTCAAATCGGACAGGTCTCTGCAATTTTATTGCAAACTGCAATATTTCTTTATATTCAATGGCCATCTTGAATTTTTAGGTGGCTAACGGGTTTTATCAAAAGAGCAATCCCCCAGGAGTATGTGTGCCAATTTTGGTGAACGATTGTTACAGTTATCTGCTCCACTATGTCCAGAGTGTATCATATAAAGATCGCCGTAATGTAGTTGGATTACTGAGTGCGGCGTTAAACACCAACCGACCATACAAATATTTGGATATTGGATAGCGACGTGGTACTCTAAATGTAAGTTCATATTCCTTCGCAGCTAGGTGCAAGCTCCTGCATTGTTTTGAGTTACAGCCGATTCGAGCGTCATTTACAGTACGTCGCTATCCAAATACGCAAATAGGAGCTACGACATGTGTCAAGTAACTCACCCAATCCTTTTCGTAGGTTACCCCACCCCCTCCCCCTTACAACATATAGCCAATGAAGACGAATAAACAACCCTATAAAAGATGGAATGCAGGAATTGAAAATATGTGACTCTTTATTAATTGAAAGTTTCATAATTAATTCGAGAGGTAAAACAATTTCATTTTCCACTTACGTTAAAAACATAGAGAGAGACAAAAAGCAGAAAAGATCACGAAGAAACAATACAAGCTTTAGTTCAAAATATAAGAAGCGACTTTAACAATCTAAGTGAAAAATATATAGGCCAATTAGGTACTAAGAATTTTTTGGGAGAACAAATTAATAAGGAAGCTGTAAGAAGAACTCAATTTCTAAAAATAAACAAATGGTATGAAGAAGGTGAAAATCCGACCAGCTATTTTTGTCACCTAGAAAACAGGAGTTTTGTTAGTAGCCTTATAAGTAGTGTTATGAAAGATAACGGCGATCTGATTACAGATGGTAGTGGTATTTTGGATGAACTGAAACCATTTTACAGTAATCTGTATAGAGAGATGCACCCACAGGAGGAAGAAAATTATATAGATTTTAGTACTATTAACATTCCAAGCTTAGGAGAAATTAATAAAGCTGTTTTTTCCATGAAGAATGATAAAAGCCCAGGAATTGATGGCTACCCCATTGAATTCTTCAAGTTCTTTTGGAGAGATTTAGGCCCATGGGGTTATAGATATATAAATGAAACCTTTGCAAATAATGAATTAATTATTACAATGAACAGGGGAATTATTACTTGTTTGCCTAAACCAAATAGAGACGGAAAATGTCTAAAAAACTGGCGACCTATTTCATTACTAAACTCCCTTTACAAAATAATAGCACATGCATAGCAAACAGGACTAAATCAACATTAGATACAGTTGTACATGAGAATCAAACAGGTTATACCTGGGAGATGTATCAGTGAAAATATAAGACTTCTCTATGATATTGTCTTTGAAACCAGAAAATGAAATAAACCCGGACTATTAGTACTAATAGGTTTTGAAAAGGCCTTTGATATTAAATCCAAAATATTTATAATACAGGTAATGAAAGCGTTTGGATTTGGGCCCAATATTATCAAATGGATTCAAATTCTGACTGGTAATAATACAGCAGCTGTGATACAAAATGGGAACATATCTTCCTTTTTCCATCAGGTACGGGGAAGCAGACAAGGAGATCCGGTCTCACCTTATTTATTGATCCTTGCAGTTGAAATATGAGGCATTAAGATAAGGTCAAACCCTGACATAAATGGCAATAACACTAAATGATATAGAACAGAAACTTGGACAATATGCTGATGATACACATCTATATCTAGATAGTTCTGAAACAAGCCTCAATGTGGCAATTGAAACACTGAATAAATTCTCAAAATGAACATGGTCACGACCTGCCAGTTCAAATACACGACATATCTTGACCGGTTGAAAAACATAAGTACTAGTATTCAACATATCAAATCATATCCCCGCGATAAACAACACAATTAATGAGTCATCAACACAGGTGGGCTTTAAGTAGACCGTTCATTATAAGGACTAAGAAATAAGAAGTTACAGGCAATACCGGCTATTGAACCTTGGTCATAAGTTGGGTGAACCCATGAAGATACGGATTAAATTTGGTATTCATCAGCCCATGCTTGTTTAAAAAGATGAAACAATGTTGAGAGCAGTAGGTATCCAATTGAAATCCCGCCTGCACTGGACAAACAGATAAGTTGAAGTGAAATCGCTGAAGGCCCTATCCTGCACTAATAAATCTGCAACCATCTTTCTTGAAACTGCCGTCTCATAGGAAGTCTCGAAAAGTCTGATTCCAGGTGAATCTATAGCTGTAAAATATCACAACTAAAGGCGTTAACTCTAAATTACTCGCTGTTTACGTCACTGCTACTCCACCCGGTATTTTCTTAGCGCTTTAATCAATTTGCTGCCACTTACAATCACCAGAAGAAAAAAATATACTGCAACATAAAACGAGTAAATACAAAATATGCTTCCACTTTAGAGATTGAGAGTGTATTCATGCTTATAAACATAATCTAAAACATTGTTGCATTTTTATTCTCATGGGTTTTAATGATTTAACTTGAAAAGTAGACAACAATAAAAAATAAAATCAGAGCCTATTACCCACATTTCAGTGACTGAAACATGCAGATTTTAACCACCGTATGACAAACCAAATTAACAAGAGGAACGTTGAAAAACCGAAGAACAACCCTTCAGATTTGCGCTTTCTCACCAAACTACTCTCTCGTATCACAGAGCCTAGCCTGGCCTGTTTTCTGTTGTTCTATTGGTACAACGTGTATCCTCGTAGATTTCTGTATTAATCACATTTTACTGGGGTTGTTTTCAAAAGTAGCCTTGGTTGGGTACAATAAACCTTCAGGACACTTTATGTGAGGTAGTGCATACACGTTTGTGCACATACTTCAGCGTCCTTGATGGCCGTAACTTGATCTCACAGATAACTGCGCCATGTCTCTTATGCGTTGCAGAAATATATATCCAAAGTTGCTTTGAAAACCATACTTTTCACGTAAATGATGACAATTCTAAATATCTACATATGTCCTTTGTACATGTTTCATGTCCTTTTCAGTACAGAAATATATGCAAACCAATGTCGAAATAGAGAAATCAATTTTTAAGCACTCCAAAATGGCTAAATTATTTAGGTCAATACATTTACATTCAGGAACATTTTTTGGTCAGATGACACGAAATGATGGAACTTTAAAGACACTTGCACCAAACTGCCAACAAAGACCATCGTCTACCGACGAACGATCGATAGAACTTGCACAAGCTGTCGTGGCCTCCCTGGTTAAGTGGATGCTCATGTTGCCAGAACCTTGCCTGATACAGACTGTGTTATCGACTCTGCCTTGATAAGCTCACTATTGTTGCCTGTGGTGTAAACGACTAACAACTCATCATTCATGCGTTCGTCTAGAAACGAGTTCCTTTTGAATGTTCTCTAAAGTTTTGTGTATCTGTTGTAAATGTTCTTTAAAGTCATCATCCAGGGCATCGATTCTCTGTGTCAGCATCTGTTCAAGGGTCAGGTCGGCTTTATGTGTTAACCTCGGTTTCTTCACTATTCTTCGTGGAACCTGCAAATACCACAATTGCCCGTCTCGCTGTTCTACAAACCGTTTCTTCTGATTATCAAATTCGCCACATCTGATAAGAGCTTTGTTGAATAGCTTTGTCAAAAAAGGGACAGCTCTTTCAAGTTGAATCGAACGTTTGAAGGTTTCAATCCTTCGGGAAAGCTGCAGATTTGTAAGAATGTCCGAATAGGATGTATTCATCATTGCAATGAGAAGGTTCAGCAGGATGATAGAAGCAAGAACGATATATGTCACGAAAAGGATGATTGGCAGAGCTAGGGAGCCACCAGCTTTCTTTATGTTGATCTCAAAGTTGTCATCAAAAGCTCAGTCATTCCAAACATAAGTCTAAACACGAGGAACATTGTATGAAATGGGGTTGGATAGATCTGAATGATTGCTGTCGAGATCTGAAAAAGCACATGTAAGGCAAATGAGAAACTCAGAAGCACAAAGGCATACACGAACAAGATCTTGTAGACATCCACCATTATCATATGTAGGATCATCCTCCAGAAGAACCTGATAGGCTTAAGTCCTTGAGTGAAACTGAGAGTTGTCAGCCATCCAATGAGCAATGTTATGGACAGTGTGTTACGCATACTGTACAGTTCCTGAGTATAGTATTGATAAAGCATTGCAGTAACCAACAGAGAATATATGACATGGTGTATTATGGAGAAACACTCAAGCATAAATGTCCCCGGCGCTTGAAATCTGGACCCAGACCAAGGGTGCTTTGAGCAATGGAACCTATGTACCAACACTAAGATGAAGCATACAGGCTCGATTGGTGTTACACTGTAGAAGATGATGGTAGTTGTGTCCATGGAATGGTCATTAGGTGACGTCCTCAGCTTGTCCATGAGGACTGAGCTGGAATAACTGAACACAGACATGTACACAGTATGGAGGAAAATGATTATAAAATAAATAAAAGTCGTAGTTGAAGTGTAAACTTTCTCAATCTTCTTCATGGGTTCAATGTCAAGAACCTGAGCAATGGTTTCATGGGAGTTGTGTTCGAGTAGAAGCTCGAGACATGACCCTCTGGATTTATCTGATCCTTTAGTTATGGGAGTGATGTCAGTGACGTCATACTGTTCTTGCGAAGGATGTCTCATATAAGTCGTTCCCTGGATGAATAGAAGCTTCTTAATTATTTCAACAGCTCCCATCTCAAACGCAAGAGACATGGAACTTTCTTGATTCTCATTTTTTGTCTCCCTGATCAGACTGTACACTGCTTGTCTCTTGTGATCTTCAGGGTCATGGTGGGTAGTTCCCATCATGTACCATTTGGTCCATTTGTCAACCAATATATCAAACACTTGCCCATATTTCTCGTCCTGTCCCTGGATGACAGCTGTTGCCCTTATGAAACAATGCAACACTGAATCCCCTACACTGTTCTGAAGACGGGGATCTGCTCTCTCGTTTAACAAGGCGGTAATTGATTCATGATGCCCATCCCTGCAAGCCACATGAAGGGGAGTATCACCTTCCCTGTTCTTCACATTGATGTCTAAATGTTGACCGAACTTCACTATGACCTCTTCCTTGTCTGCCTTTGCTGCATAGTGGAGCATTGTATTTCCAGCTTCGTCGCAAACATTTAAGCTTGGTTTGGATTTTAAGATGATTTCAATTTTGTCAATCAAACCCAGGGTAACTGCTTTGGCTAAAGCAGATGCAATGGCTTTTACCATTGGGTTTGTTTGGTCCTCTGCTGAAACGTTCTTCGTTGCATGGAGGAGTGTTTCTAAAACAGTGATTTGATCTGAAGTTGTAACAGCAATCTGGAACACATCTTCTTCTTCGTTATTGATATGACAGACTTTAATGGACTCTTTGTCCATTAGCCATTTCAATATTTCACAGTGTCCACTCCTTGCTGCAATCATGAGCGCTGTATCGCCATGTTCGTCCGTTTCATTGACATCAGCACCTTGAGCTAATAGCCTCTGCAGGGCTGATAGGTTGCCCATCTTTGCATGTCTGTGTAGGGGGCGTTCAACGACAGAAACAACGTGTTTGTATCTAGGCGCGGTCACATCGAGTACTATGTCAAAGGAAGGATTTTCCATGGCTACTGTAGAAGGTGTGTATATTCTGAAAATAGATCAATAAATGAAAGAGAATGAGGGAAAAGGAGTGGTTAAATATGAAGATATGTTCATATTCTATGCGAAAAGTGAACAACACTCCAGCTATATGATTTGTTTGGTTGTTGTTTAACGCCGCTCTCAGCAATATTCCAGCTATACGTATGCGGTGCATATATAATCGAGCCTGAACCCAACAATCCAGTGTTAAGATTATGAGCATCAATCTACACAACTGGGATATGATGACATGTATCAACCAAGTCATCGAGCCTGACTACACGATTCTGTTAATCGCCTCTTGGGACAAGGAAGCTACATGTAGAGACCAATTCCAACAAGTATTCCGGATACATGATATAGCAGTGTGAAAATGTGTGTCAGGAAATAGCAAACCAGTGACTAATATCATGAACATATACCCACTCAATGCAAACTTTGGGTGAATGGATTTGTTCAAATGGAAACTTTCTTTTGTCCAGCAGTTCATGTAATCTCATCTTACAGGAGGAATTTATTGCGGCAAAGATGGAGCGAGGAGACACCATCACCATCCTGCATGTGAATGTGTTACCTGTAGGGCCTTATGACATACTTTGCTTTAAAGTCGTGTGGACATGCTATGTCTGTCTCAATGGGACATATGTTGTCGAAATCTCACAATGACGTTGTCGATAGCTCACAATAAACCATGTTGTCTTCATCTCTCTATGGCGTATGTTGTCTTCATCTCACTATGATGTATGTTGTCTCATCCTCACTATGATGTATGTTGTCTCATCTCACTATGACGTATGTTGTCTTCATCTCACTATGACGTATGTTGTCTCATCATCTTACTATAACGTATGTTGTCTCATCTAACTATGACGTATGTTGTCTTCATCTTACTATGACGTATGTTGTCTCATGTCACTATGACATATGTTGTCTCATCTCACTATGGCGTATGTTGTTCTTTATCTCACTATGACGTCTGTTGTCTTCATCTTACTATGACGTATAGTGTCTCATCTTACTATGACGTATGTTGTCTTCATCTTACTATGACGTATAGTGTCTCATCTCACTATGACGTATGTTGTCTTCATTTCACTATGACGTATGTTGTCTTCATCTTACTATGACGTATGTTGTCTCATCTCACTATGACGTATGTTGTCTTCATCTTACTATGGCGTATGTTGTCTCATCTCACTATGACGTATGTTGTCTCATCTCACTGTGGCGTATGTTTTCTTTATCTCACTATGACGTATGTTGTCTTCATCTTACTATGACGTATGTTGTCTTCATCTTACTATGACGTATGTTGTCTTCATCTTACTATGGCGTATGTTGTCTTCATCTTACTATGACGTATGTTGTCTTCATCTCACTATGACGTATGTTGTCTTCATCTTACTATGACGTATGTTGTCTTCATCTTACTATGACGTATGTTGTCTTCATCTTACTATAACGTATGTTGTCTCATGTCACTATGACGTATGTTGTCTCTCATCTCACTGTGGCGTATGTTTTCTTTATCTCACTATAACGTATGTTGTCTTCATCTTACTATGACGTATAGTGTCTCATCTTACTATGACGTATGTTGTCTTCATCTCACTATGACGTATAGTGTCTCATCTTACTATAACGTATGTTGTCTTCATTTCACTATGACGTATGTTGTCTTCATCTTACTATGACGTATGTTGTCTTCATCTCACTATGACGTATGTTGTCTTCATCTTACTATGACGTATGTTGTCTTCATCTTACTATGACGTATGTTGTCTTCATCTTACTATAACGTATGTTGTCTTCATCTTACTATGACGTATGTTGTCTTCATCTTACTATAACGTATGTTGTCTCATCTCACTATGACATATGCTGTCTCATCTCACTGTGGCGTATGTTTTCTTTATCTCACTATGACGTCTGTTGTCTGTATCTCACTATGACATATGCTGTCTCATCTCACTGTGGCGTATGTTTTCTTTATCTCTCTATAGCGTATGTTGTCTGTATCTCACTATGACGTATGTTGTCCTTATCTCACTATGACGTATGTTGTCCTCATCTCACTATGACGTATGTTGTCTTCATCTTACTATGACGTATGTTGTCTCATCTCACTATGACATATGCTGTCTCATCTCACTGTGGCGTATGTTTTCTTTATCTCACTATGACGTCTGTTGTCTGTATCTCACTATGACGTATGATCTCTTCATCTCAGTATGACGTATGTTGTCTTTATCCCACTATGATCGTATATTGTTTATATCACACTATGACGAATATTGTCTTTATCTCGCTATAACACGACCCGTGATGATCCGGGTTAGAGTTGACCTTCAGTAACCCATGCTAGTCGTAAGAGACGACTAACGGGTTCAGGTGGTCTCGCTCGCTGCCATGGTTGACACATGTCATCGGTTCCCAATTGCAAAGACAGATGCTCATGCGGTTAATCACTTGATTGTCTGGTCCAGACTCGATTATTTCGAGACCGCTGCCATATCTCTGAAACATTGCTGAGTGCGCGTAAAACTAAACTCACTCACTATAACGCATGTTGTCTAATCACCCAATTACATAGGTTGTCTGTATGTCATGGTGACATAGGTAAAGTACTGTCGGAAATAGAAAAAAACTGTTTTTAGGCTGTTACTCTGTATCCCTAAAATTTACACAACTGCAAATAGCATATGTCGAAATAACCCACTTCGGCCTAACTGGGCATTCAGTGAGATGCGTAATAGGATATCCAGAAATGCATGTTTACTCGTAAAATCGGGCAAAACTTAGAAAAAATACGCATAGCTGCTGAAAACAATAGATCAGACTATAGATGGCAATTAGGTCGCTCGGACAGGTCTGATGACGGACCGTCGACTCACCTGGCATGAAATGCACGTGCTGCCTACAAGCACAATTGGTCATCTCAAAGATATTTTGTGCTTTTTTAAGTGTATTGACTGACTTCATCTATTGATTAACATCTTACGTGTCTTTCTTTCATGAAGTTTATGTTGAGATATGTAAAAGAGTATGATACCTGATAACCATAGAAACGCATCGTATTAAATGTCAATAAATTAAATATATAGGTGGCATGACCACCCGATCGCGAAGATCGACAGGACTGGATATTAATTGTAAATTGTTATGACATGCCGTGTACTTCCCCAGTATAATTGTCTAAAGGATTTTCTTATCTTAGCTGATATCTCTATCCCCTAGCCCGACCCCAACGATCGTCTGCGACACCCGTCCAGGTTTTGCTTTTGAAACGAACCCTCCTATCTGTTTCTTTTTATAGTGACAGTGAGACTCCATGGTAGCTACATCCTTAATAGTTTCAGCATGAAAGTTATTATTTTTTACGCCAAATATCGTTTATAATGAAGCTACGTCTAATTTCAAATTGGGCATTTAAAAAGTGTCCTTTGTAATACAATATCGTCGCACACTAATTTGCATAAAGCCATGGTCTGTTCCAAATAAATCGTTTTGGACTTAGAACAAAACCCGCCTTGCTCATTACCGCACTAATCTCTCCTGAGTAAAGTCCTTTTTCTACGTTTCCTATGTCCCTACCACTGAGACTGTAGTTAGGCCGAACTTAGTTAAACAGATATTTCACACTTGCACACATCAACTACATATAAGTTTTTTTCTATTTCCGACAGTACTTTAGTTCTTATCTCACAGTGTGATAAACGACAATTACGTATGCTTAATTAGCATGCTTATGTATCAGTTAACAGACACATAACAACCTATTCTTTGAGGATATTAGAAAAGTTAATGGTCAGATTGAAGATATATAAATATTGAATCATTAGATTTCCATTGAGATGTATATCGAGCCAAAATGTCCTGACCTACCTTCACAGCCAGTCACACACAGTAATAGCAAGTCATTGTCAGGGGCGTCACGTTGTAAGCTGATAACTGCCTCAACACACCCGGACTTTGTCTATACCTATCTGGATCCCGTACAAAGCACAGGTTGATCTGCCCTTGTGTTCAGGATTCCGATTGCGCAACGGTATTTGTTCTGTCACTCAGTCAGGGAAGGATACAACGTGGAAACCATCGTACTGATAACGGGCAGTGGGATGTCAGCTGACAGTCGTATGTCATATCCGAGGACTATCAAATAACTTAATGTTGATAAGAAGAGTTGACATACATTTTCGGTTGTTTTGGACCGGTATTGTCGAAGGTTAAAAGCGGACATAGCTGAGGTACTCGGAATGTGTTAAGGGGATTATATAGTGGCGTGAATATGTTGGTGATTGTAATGTGGATATGTTGGTGTTGTGGTTGAGATATGGTGGTTGAGATATGGTGGTGGTGTGGTGTTTGTGGCGTGGCGGGGCGTGGCGGTCGGGACGGGGCGTGGTGTGTGGTGTGGTGTGTGGAGCGGAGTGGTGTGGTGTGGTGTGGTGTGGTGTGGTGTGGTGTGGTGTGGTGTGGTGTGGTGTGGTGTGGTGTGGTGTGGTGTGGGAGTGGTGCGGTGCGGTGCGTCGCGGTGTGGTGTGGTGGTGTGTTGTGGTGTGGTGTGTGGATTGGTGCGGTGCGGTGCGGTGTGGTGTGGTGTGATGTGGTGGTGTGGTGTGGTGTGGTGGTGTGGAGTGGTGTGGTGTGGTGTGGTGAGGTGTGGTGTGCTGTGGAGTGGAGTGGAGTGGTGTAATGTGGTGCGGTGCGGTGGTGGTGTGGTGTGGATTCGTGTGGTGCGGTGCGGTGCAGTGCAGTGTGGTGTAGTGTTGTGGTGTGGTGTGGGTGTGGTGTGGTGTGTGGTGTGGTGTGGTGTGGTGGTGTGGTGGATGGTGTGGTGTGTGGAGTGGCGTGGAGTGGAGTGGAGTGGTGTGGGTGTGGTGTTTGGCGATGCGGTGCGGTGTGGTGTGGATGCACTGGTATCAAGTGTTGATTTTGATATGGTGATGTTTAAATGTGAATGAGCTGGTGTTATGGTATAGATCCTCTGTGTTATGGTATAGATCCTCTGTGTTATAGTATAGATCCTCTGTGTTATAGTATAGATCCTCTGTGTTATGGTATAGATCCTCTGTGTTATGGTATAGATCCTCTGTGTTATAGTATAGATCCTCTGTGTTATAGTATAGATCCTCTGTGTTATGGTATAGATCCTCTGTGTTATAGTATAGATCCTCTGTGTTATGGTATAGATCCTCTGTGTTATAGTATAGATCCTCTGTGTTATAGTATAGATCCTCTGTGCTATAGTATAGATCCTCTGTGTTATGGTATAGATCCTCTGTGTTATAGTATAGATCCTCTGTGTTATAGTATAGATCCTCTGTGTTATAGTATAGATCCTCTGTGTTATGGTATAGATCATCTGTGTTATAGTATAGATCCTCTGTGTTATAGTATAGATCCTCTGTGTTATAGTATAGATCCTCTGTGTTATAGTATAGATCCTCTGTGTTATGGTATAGATCCTCTGTGTTATAGTATAGATCCTCTGTGTTATAGTATAGATCCTCTGTGTTATAGTATAGATCCTCTGTGTTATAGTATAGATCCTCTGTGTTATAGTATAGATCCTCTGTGTTATAGTATAGATCCTCTGTGTTATAGTACAGATCCTCTGTGTTATAGTATAGATCCTCTGTGTTATAGTATAGATTCTCTGTGTGATAGTATAGATCCTCTGTGTTATAGTATAGATCCTCTGTGTTATAGTATAGATCCTCTGTGTTATAGTATAGATCCTCTGTGTTATAGTATAGATCCTCTGTGTTATAGTATAGATCCTCTGTGTTATAGCATAGATCCTCTGTGTTATGGTATAGATCCTCTGTGTTATAGTATAGATCATCTGTGTTATGGTATAGATCCTCTGTGTTATAGTATAGATCCTCTGTGTTATGGTATAGATCCTCTGTGTTATAGTATAGATCCTCTGTGTTATAGTATAGATCCTCTGTGTTATAGCATAGATCCTCTGTGTTATAGGATAGATCCTCTGTGTTATAGTATAGATCCTCTGTGTTATAGTATAGATCCTCTGTGTTATAGTATAGATCCTCTGTGTTATAGTATAGATCCTCTGTGTTATAGTATAGATCCTCTGTGTTATAGTATAGATCCTCTGTGTTATAGTATAGATCCTCTGTGTTATAGTATAGATCCTCTGTGTTATGGTATAGATCCTCTGTGTTTATAGTATAGATCCTCTGTGTTATAGTATAGATCCTCTGTGTTATAGTATAGATCCTCTGTGTTATAGTATAGATCCTCTGTGTTATAGTATAGATCCTCTGTGTTATAGTATAGATCCTCTGTGTTATAGTATAGATCCTCTGTGTTATAGTATAGATCCTCTGTGTTATAGTATAGATCCTCTGTGTTATGGTATAGATCCTCTGTGTAATAGTATAGATCCTCTGTGTTATAGTATAGATCCTCTGTGTTATAGTATAGATCCTCTGTGTTATAGTATAGATCCTCTGTGTTATAGTATAGATCCTCTGTGTTATAGTATAGATCCTCTGTGTTATAGTATAGATCCTCTGTGTTATAGTATAGATCCTCTGTGTTATAGTGCCCATGTGGTGATGTTGTAGTGGGGATATGCTCGTGTGATAGTATTTACTATATATGTGCTGTTTAAGTATGGCTCAACATAGCGATTGACATCATAAGTATCGATCTACGCAATCAGGATACGATGATACGTGTCAATCAAGTCAGCGATCCTGACCACCTGATCCCGTTAGTCGCCTCTTACGACAAACATGGGTTGCAGAACACTCAGATCTTTATGGGCGATACATGTGCGTTTTCCCTGGAGTATATATTTGTTCATGTTTGCAGTTATTACACGTAAGCATACAAACATACCTCAGAACACAAACAGCCTTTCCTCTGACACTGATGCAGTGAAAACCGGTATTCAATGCTCTGTTTGTCCGGTGAACTCTTCTACTTAGATGACTGGTGTTCAGATCATTATTTAATCACTAACCAATCCAGAAAATCGATACAGCCTACTATACGTACGTTTACCATCAACAGGAAGCAAATCATATCATAATCTATAAACAGGTTGAACAGGTTATATAATAGGAGGTGCGCGTTCCAAGGTTCATGTCACAACTAGTTTGGGATAAGGGATAAGTGCGTCAGCCTCGTGGGTCAGCCCGTCCTAGATGTCGTGTACTAAAAATAAACAAATCACTCGAAGTGCGTAGTAACGCTGATGTGCCGTAAAATCTATTATTATCCACGTGCCCATCCAAATTCAGTGATCGGTCAACTATCAGCAATCTATGGAATCCCGGTCGGGACATCTAGAGGGTTGTCACCCTCAACACACGGACGCGCACATGCACACTTCACACTTGCACCTTATCGCGAAATAATACGATATTTCAAATCGCTCTGTTGTCCCATTGACGCATTTCGAAATATAGTTTTGTTGCTAAAGGAATAAGAGAGGGTGTCCCCTTTTGGATTCCATTGTTACAGTGTGGTGAGGTGAGGTGAAATTGGGTTTAACGTCGTGCTTGAGAATATTTCGCTCATATGACGATACAGTGTGGTCTTGATCACTGATATGTTCCATCATGTGTTATGCTAAAGGACATTTCTTTTCGAGCGTCTTTAACCTACTTAAGACCGCGCCTTGTTATATTCACGTTTATGGGTTCACTGGGTCAAGTAGGAGAAAACATGATATATTCTCTTCATTCCTGAGTATTTCTGGGTTGTTTACGTACAAGAAAAGCTTACTAGATCGGAAACAAATCAAGTTTTTCCAAGAAGCGACATATGTTGTACAAAGCAAAGTATTACTAATCTGAACTGCAAAATGTTGAATATTCATTCAGTATGCTCCTCACATGCAATTCATAGGCATGGTTTGGCACTGGCAACATGTCGCAGACAAACAGGCAGGCAGACAGAAGACAGACAGAAGACAGACGGACGGACGGACAGGCAGACATTCACCAAGGGTACACATTATATAACATAACAATAGTAAATGTACTCCAGCCATTATTTATAGAATTATGAGAGACTGGGATAAGCAACATAATTTTATTATTACTTACAACTAGAGTATTCTGAAGGCTAAGTTCACATATTTTCAATAGAGCCCCTAAAATGTTGACACTGAAATGACGACCAGGAGATGACATTTGGTTAGTGTCACATACCACTGAGCACATGTGTCATTTAATCAGCAATTTCTATTGTCACCATAGAACAATTTGTAGCAGAAATTTTGTAAATTCAATGATAAAACTAAAGGCCTGAGATACTCCAGATGCGTAGATGTAATGAAACACTATAAGTATAGTGCACAGTGATATAATGATATACAAACAGATATGTGTGTGTGGTTGAATTTTCACGAGTGAGTATGGTCAGTTAGGAAGACAGGCGACAGACACTCTTGTAATCTATATAGTAACAAATGTAATCGGTTCCCAGTTGCGTAGATCGATCCTCATGTGGTTGATCACTGGATTGTCTGGTCCAGCCTCGATTATTTACAGACCACCGCCATATAGCTAGAATATTGCTGAGTGCGGCGTAAAACAAACTCACTCACTGACTGTAATGGAGTAACAAATGGTTCGTAACACACGAGGATGGCATCAGAACTCCTTCACGGCGCAAATGAATATCCTGTGGTTGTTGGTAAAGTGAAATAATACTAAGCACCTTCTACAGTACATACTAAGTAAAGTACCTGACAAACAGGATCAGGGGTGCCGTTGTACAAAACAACCTTAGCGCTAGGACTAACTTTAGTGTATATTAAGGTATGGGGTGACGGTATGGTAGTGATAAGATTGCTTTGTATAACGGTACCCAGGTGGTTAGGCTCACTAACTTGTTGATACATTTCATCGTATTCCATAGGTCGATGCTCATGATATTAGTCACTGGATTGTCTGGCGCAGACTGGATTATACACATAACATTGCTGAGTGCGGTGTTAAACAAAACACCCAGAGGTTCTTAAACATTGCTCAGAGCTGCGTAAACAGGGAATCATTTGGTGTCCTTGTCATAAGTGTTCACGTCGCTTTATGGCGGAGTTATTTCCGATGCAACGTTAAATTTGACCCACCCACCCACCCACTCACTCACTCACTCGCTCACTCACTCACTCACCCAACCGCCCACCCACTCACTCACTCACTCACTCACTCAGTCACTAACTCACCCACCCACCCACCCACCCACTCACTCACTCACTCACTCACTCACTCACTCACTCACTCACTCACTACAACACTCACGTGTCCCACGTGTCAGTGTACAATTGGGTAAACATACGAGTACTGTTAATGCTTCATTCACTTTATTTCAGTCCAGCCCTACTGCGGACAGTAAGCACACCCGGGACAGTTACGACCGTCAACCCGGAGTGTCTGCGTCTTCAAGGGCAGGCTGCACGGACCAGGTTCAACACAGCTCACGTCAGGGCACGATGCAAGCTGGTTAAACAGAACAGGAAAAGATTAAGTATCGCCATCTGTTCGACCCTCCCCTCCTGTGCATATCATATTATCCACCACCCCTACATTCCCAAGCCTCCATTATAGATATCTAATAACGTCATCCGGTTGTTTTTAAGGCGCCTTCTTATTGTAGAAACAATCTCTTAGAAGGACGATGTCAAACTTTGCCTCTGACCAAGGAATATTCTACACCTTTAATTTTCTTCAGTTTAATTTATGGCTCGGGGTGGGGGTGGGGTGATGGCTTTTATGGAGAAGCATGTACAATGTGAATGAACCCCTAAGATTTATGTACAAAGTACCTGATACCCCTTTATGCCATGTACAATATCCCCACCCCTGTCCCCATAACGTTTACGCATATTGTTTTGAATACATGTATATTCATGTACAAAACAGATGCACCCATAGAACGTGTGTACAAAATTGATGACACCCTCTACCTTCCCAGAACAATATGATGGAAACCTTCCCCTATTAAAGTCATTATCACCCTAGCCATAAACGGTCTCTTATTGTTTAATGGTATGTCACCTCATTCACCAATGTTTAGCAATATGTCGGCGGTTGTGTTTCCAATACCAACGATGCTACACTGCCAGTTCATTACTGATGTTTAGTGTTGCCTAAGGGAAGTGTCATAAAATCGCCAGCGCCCAACGACCGTGCCGTCAGAGATAGTGAGTGAGTATAGTTTTACGGCGCTTTTAGCAACATTCCAGCAATATCATGGCGGGGGACAGCGGAAATGGGCTTCACACATTGTGCCTATGTGGGGAATTGAACCCGGGTCCTCGGCGTGACGAGCGGACGCTTTAACCACAAGGCTACCCCGCCGCCCCGTCGTCAGAGACAATCTGAGGTGAGGTGAAATGGGGTTTAAGGTCGTACTTAAGAATATTTCGCTCATATGACGACATGCATGCGTCTGTATGTGTATGCGTGGCTACTTGTACTAGCCCAGACTTAAGCTGGTTTTATAGTGCTAGCTCACTGAGATACCATGCCGCAGTGAAGCAAAAATACCCCACTCAGACACATTATACTGACTCTGAGCCGACTATGTTGTACATGGTCAGGCAGGGACCAACGAGTACCATATTTTAACATCTTTGGGTATGACGGGGATCGAAACCCGCGACCTTCCGCTCTCCGGGCAGACGTTCTAACCACTACACCATGGAGGCGGTTGAGAGAATCTGAAAGCTATCAACTATTAAATAACTGAGGCTGACGATCAGATCAGTTTGGTCACCTCGTGAAGGACATAGGTTGCTATAAACCAGTTATTATTCTAATGCGGGTCTAGAAGAACTGTGAATGAGTGAGTGGCTATGCCTTTAGCAATATTCCAGATATATCACGGCGAGGGATGCTACAGTTGGGCTTCACACATTGTACCCATGTGGGGAATCGAACCCGGGTCTTCAACGTGACGGGCGAACCCTTTAACCACAAGGCTACCTCACCGCCCCTTAAACTATAAGATTGTGAGTGGTTCCGGGGACTTACTAAGCGTCTGACTTTACTGGACTCTGATGGACAGTACGGGCATCCTGGGCATCTGTGTGGTACTCCGGGGATGGTCACTTCGTGGATGGAGTAGGGCGTGTCACACGGGCCGGGGGCTGGACACTTGAACATGGGGCACTGGTGCTGGACCTGAGGACAGAACAAATGGTCAAACCATTCATGAATATTACATTGTTTTGTTTGTTTGTTTGCTTGTTGTTTAACGCAGCACTCATCAATGGACCAGACAATCCAGTGACAAAATTGGGATACGATGTCAGCCAAGTCAGAGAGCCTGACCACCCGAATTCGTTAGTCGCATCATGGGTTGCTAAAGACCAATTCTTATCCGGATTTTCACGAGCAGAATATTACCTGGAAAATATTGTTTATAAAATATCACGATACTGTGAATGAGTGAGTGAGTGAGTAAAAATTTACTACACTTTTAACAATATCACGGCGGATGATACCATAAATGTAACGCTTTTTGGGGAATGAAACAGGAATTTCTGCGAGACGAGCGAACACATCAACCACTAGGCTACCTCATCATGTTGTAACTATCTCGCCACAGCAACAGGTTCGATTTTTGGGTTCCGCACTGATCGGTTTTATCACTATATCGATTACATAGTGGGGCCAAAGCACATAATTGACAGAGTTGCCAAAGTTAAATAATGTAATCATCTTCAAAAGTTGGCAAATCGTTAATCGAAAAGTTTCGTTTGGGTCATCTCATCCACGATACTACGATTTAACGGCAACTCAAGTAGCCGTATGTTTCACAATCCTCACAATCACAGAACATCTGCTTGTCTGTTGTCTGAAGCCGAACTAATGTCCTATATGCCAGAGGGACGTACACAGACGAGTCTGAACTAGACACATGCTATGAGCATATGGTTGGAAGATTGTTGCATTAAACAACAAACAACATGTGCTTGATGGTCATGTTTCAAGATGTAAACAGAGAAATAACAGACATTACTAATATAACTGAACAGTTAAAAAAAGTCATTAAAACCATTGCGTTATACACATATGTTTCTGGTCACGAGAACAGGAAAAACAGGACATAAATCTTTTCAACAGCTGGTGTATATGGGAAGGTAAGTGTGGTATAACGCCGCAGGATTCCAACTATATGACGGCGGTGTGTAGGGTAATGCGCCTGGACCAGATAGCCCAGTGAATGTCGATACGATGAAATGCATCTACCAATTCTGCGAGCCTGACCACCCGATCCCGTCAGTCGCCTCTTACGACAAGCATATTTAGTAAGTTGTGCTACCCGTGAAGGTCCGGGTTAGAATATTGTTCTACAGCAACCCATGGTTGTCGTAAGAGGCGACTAAAGGGATCGGGTGGTCAAGCTCGCTGACTTGGTTGACACATGTCATCGGTTCCCAATTGCGCTGATCGATACTCATGCTGTTGATCATTGGATTGTTTGGTCTAGACTCGATTATTTACAGACCGCCGCCATATAGGTGGAATACTGCTGAGTGCGGCGTAAAACTAAACGCACTTACTAAGTAAGAGCATGGTGCTTTCCTCCAGGTATTTATACCAAATCCGACGTTACTTCGCTCTCGTTCAGGCTGGTGAGCACAGGCAGCCCTGTTGTTTAAGATTACCTGATAAAAGATTTATCTCCCTTGACCACAGCAGGAACCTGTGATTGTGGTTGTGAATCCAGGCTCATTCAGGTAGTGTTTCTTGATCAGTGGTAAATAACTGAGACCGGCATCACTCGGGACATTAAGATGACGTGCCGTGATATAGCTAGATACTTCTACTGATACAGTCCGGATTAACGAGTGAGAGAGTGGTTTTAAGCCGCTTTTAGCAATTTTCCAGCAATATCACGGCGGGGCGACACCAGCAATGGGCTTCACACACAGTACCCATTTGGGGAATCGAACCCGACTTCGGCGTGACGAGAGAACGCTTTATCCACTAGACTACCCCACCGCCCCCCGGATTAACGAGGTTTAGTTGTTTATGGTACCCACGGTTATTCCATGTCCTACCTGCCTGACAGCCGGCTTGGATATGTTCCAATAGACGCACACCTGACACCCTTGGCACACCTTGCCCTCATACTTGAAGTGAGTCCACTCAAACCGGGCACAGTTCGGGAAAGGGGGTGGGCAGGGTAGGTGCGGACAAGTTGGACTCGTCTGAAAATATTGAGCTTCCATAAAAGAAAAATAAATATTTTTCCGGGTGCATTCTTGACAAAAGTGAGGGGAAGGACTGTTGCTATAATTTTTCCACCATGAAAAATAACAGGACAAAACTGAACTCGTTCTTCCAGGCAATGTCAGTTTTCGTTCATTTTATTGTATGGATAACAGAGTATGTTTCACAAAACGTGGGAATCAAACTGGACAAAATTTACAGGGACGTTCCATTGTGCGAGACATCTTGTCAACGCATGTTTACCCTTCGTCTGATGTAAAAATATCTACAAAACCACTGAACCAAAGGGATTGAAAATCATCACAAATATTCCCATCAATGATGACTGACAACCCAATTTGGTCAAGTGGTTCAGCTATATTGAAGAAATATTCATGTCCATTACTATTTAACCTTTGACCATAAATTCTCATTAACTGCCTCCTGGTTGAAACATCATGTCCTCAGACACCATCGGACGACTGAAACTTCGTATCATTATTTTCACCAATGATGTTGACGATTTGTTATCCTGATTTCAACATGGCCACCACATCAGCAATATTGAAACGTCTAGTTTAGCCACAGAACGGACATGTTTTTAAACACTGTTATTAAAATGGTTTTGTGTTTAGTTTGGTATGTTCTGTTGTTTTTACAGCATTTACTGTGGTATTGTTTCAACCTTAGTTTTATCTAACTATGCAGTTTTGCTTTGTAAAGCTCTTTGAAATTAATTAGCTGAACGTTTAAATGCTTACATTGTGCATGCATCTGCATGTCTGTGAATGCATGTGTTTGTGTGTATCTACGTGTGTCTGTGTGTGCGTGCATTTGCATGTGTCTATGTCCGCATGTATCTGCGTGTCTGTGAATGCATATGTATGTGTGCATGCATCTGTATGTCTTAGAATGCAATGCATCTGTATGTCTGTGAATGCATGTGTCTGTGTGTGCATGCTTCTGTGTCTGTGAATGCATGTGCTTGTGTGTGCATGTGTTTGTGTGTGCATGTGTCTCTGTATGTATGGATCTGTATGTCTGTCTGTATGTGTTTCTGTCTGTGTGTGCATGTGTTTGTGTGTGCATGTATCTGCATGTGTATGTGTATGCATGCATCTGCGTGTCTGTGAATGCATGTGTCTGTGTGTGTATGTTTGCGTGTCCATGCATCTGTTTGCATCTGTGTGTGCATGTTTTTGCGCGTCTGCACCTACGTGTATCTGCGTTTCTGTGAGTGAATGCAGCTGTGTGTGTCTGTCTGTGCATGTATCTCCGTGTGTTTTTGTCTGCATGTATACATGGGAAATTTCAGAACTTGGACACAAACACAAACGGATTCCCGATTCCAATTTCACCAACCCTCTGCCTCTGGCAGGGAAATAAAGATTCCAGAGAAACAGATAAGGTTTCTTACAATTTTGTTTGTTTTGATATGGACTCAAAACCCATTTTTCACATTTCAGTTTAGTTTTAGCTTCAGCAACCGGAACACCGGCATCCTAATGGAGTTTGCCTGTCCTCTGGCTTGACTTTGATGTCAACAGACTAGTTTAGGGTTGACAACAATTTTCACATCAAACCGTTCCCTATTTTTGATGTCTTGGAATGACGATATCCTGCCTCAGAGGGTTATTATTTCGTCAATGATAGCCAACCTCCCTTTTAAGGAATTGATCTGATCGCTTACGGTGTAACAGTAATTGTTTCCGACGGTGGGTCTGCGATATTTTCTGAGTAAACGAAATGTTTAGTTAGTTAGTCCTTTTAAACATTCATATTGCGTGTGGCTTATTATCAGTGTGAGAGAAAAACGAAATCTTAGAAATATTACAATCAAAGCGTACTAAAGGTTAAATCTTTGGAAATTTGAAGATCATAGAAATTCATGTTAGGATTCATTATTGTTTGAAATGTTTTTTTACACCTGAGATAGTGAAAGTATGGTTTTACGCATCCTCGATAATCTCCAGGGTATACGTAACGATCACTCTCCACTATACCCTGGATGCATCCACGGCTTGGCCCGATAATTATATTACCTCCCTTTGCTGGTTCCGCATTCTCACAGTAGCCAGTCAGCTAAGCCGCCGTTACAACTGAGCTTGCCAGTGGCAACAAAGATAGCGGTCGCAGTCGCGAAGGTTTGTTCGCAGTACCACTCAGATATTTTGGGAAATAATACAGACAAACTGACAGATCTGAAACTTTCAAAAAATATATGAAAGAACTCCTCCTACCACTTTCAGAGTACATCTGCAACAATATATTATTATGTTGACAAGTTTAAACGGCTAGATAATTTAAGAAGCGTAAGTGAGTTGTGATTGGTTCGCTCAACTTCCCAGCGTAGACACCTGATTGGACAAAAAGCAAGCCAAGGGAGGTAATAAAATCATCGGGCCAAGCCGAGGATGCATCCAGGGTATAGTGGAGAGTGATCGTAATGTATACCCTGGAGATTATCGAGGATGGGTTTTACGCTGCTTTTAGCAATATGCCAGCAATATTACGGCGGGGACCACAGAAATGGGCATCACACATTGTACCCATGTGGGGAATCAAACCTTTGTCGTCTTCGTGACGAGCGAACGCCTTAACTACCAGGCATCCCAACTGAGATGAAATGAAAAGGGGTTTTACGTTGCGTAAAGGAATACCTAACTAATACAGCCCACTTGCGTTCGAGTGCGTGTCTGTTCGCACTAATACAATACTTACATCAGTGGCAGCATCGTCTGATGCCGTGCCGGTGACGTTGACACAGTACTGACATCCCTTGCACAGTTTCCCGTGGTACCAGAAATGACTCCACACCTTGTGGGTGCAGTTGCCAGGAAACGGGCAGGGAAGATGCGGACATTTCACATCCTGGACACCCTGTAGGATCAAGAGATGGTATATTTGGATAATAGAGACTTTGATATTCTATGTTTAGATATTGTGTGGACATGAAACGGTGTTGAACATGCTGTTGAGGATTATATTTTTCGATATTCTTATGCAAAAAAACCATACTGAATTCATTGAAATTTCGATTATCACGGTATTCGCAACATGGAACTTAACTAAACTATGTGAACTAACATATTAGTTATTTTCGCACGTTTGCACAAGCATGGCCCTATTCAGATTCTATTATGAGCTTTAAATTGTGCTTGGGTTGCCCGTTTAGCCTGTCACAAAGAGGATTGGCCTTAAAGAACAAAGGGCTTATAGTTTTATTGTACCTTTTGCACGTCACCATAGGCACCTGTCAGTGACTAAATATACAAATATATCATGTTGGAATTACAAAAACATCATCCCTATAACAAGTGTGTTTCTTTGTTGGATAACGCCGCCCTCAGCAATATTGCAGCTCATAAGTTGTAATTACTAAGGTCTGGACCAGACAATCCAGTGATCATCACCATGAACATCGATCTACGCAATTGGGATACGATGACGTGTGTAAACCAAGTCAGTGAGTCTGACCACCCGATCCCGTTAGTCGCTTCTTACGACGAGCATGGGTTACTGAAGACCAATTCTAACCCGGATCTTCACTGGTAGTGTTTTTCTTTGCTACGAGATCAGTTCAATCTTTAGTGACCCTCACATCACAAGGTTGATTACCTGTGATATATAGAGAGGCTTATCAAATCTGCTAATATTGCCGGCACATACCGTTTGATTACCAGCTGACATAATCGAACACTATCACTAAAATAACATTGAATCTAATAATGCATCGGGGACTTAAAAGTACACATGCCGCCGTATTTCAATTGCACTCAACAATGCTCGAAATATGAATCACGGGATTGTCTGGTCCATGGGAATATTTTTAAACACTACTTTTACAGAGGGAATATGTTGGAATTACAAAAACATCATCCCTATAACAAGTGTGTTTCTTTGTTGTATAACGCCGCCCTCAGCAATATTGCAGCTCATAAGTTGTAATTACTAAGGTCTGGACCAGACAATCCCGTGATCAACAGCATGAGCATCGATCTGCGCAATTGGGAACCATTGACATGTTTCAACCAAGCCAGCGAGCCTGACCACCCGATCCTGTTAGTCGCCTCTTACGACAAGAATGGGTTACTGAAGGTTCATTCTAACCCAGACCTTCACGGGTTTGTACAAGAAGAAACTCCAACCTTTGCGGGAACAGTTGACGGGCAGTGGGCAAGTTAATTGGGGACACTTCACGTCCTATATATTTGAGATGCACAGATAGACAAGCATGTGTGTAGAGTTCATTATCCATCTGTGTTAAGGTATCGTAAATGTCATGTGATTCATACCACTAATGAATAATCAGTATTTAATATTTGTGAAGTGTAATGGAGTTTAACGTTGTACTTAAGAATATTTCGCTCATATGACGACGTGCATGCGTGTGTATGTGTGGCCGCGCTTGTACTAGCCCAGACTTAAGCTGGTTTTATAGTGCTAGCTCACCGAGATACCATGCTGCAGTGAAGCATAAGTACCCTACTCAGACACATCATACTGACTCCGAGTCGACCAGTCCTTGTTTTACCCATCAATGCCAAGCGCAAGGCAGGGAACAAGTGCCATATTTTAAAGCCTTTAACTCGACCAGCGACCTTGAGCTCTCTCGCTCTATACATATATATATCAACTAGAGTCAGGCCGTACGCAACATAAATGTACCTCTGCCAAGGTGTCTCTGGAATCTGACGCCTGATCGATGACACAGTACTGACACCCCTTGCAAAGCTTCCCCTTGTACCAGAAGAAGCTCCAAGCTGTGCGGGTACAGTTGGTGCGAGGTGGAGGGGGGACAGGGAAGCCGCGGACACTTCACATCCTGTTATACATATACATTCAGAGGTACAGTTGAAGCCTTTGAGAAGCATCACTGGACCACTTATATCTGTCTGTGTGGTTAATCGTCTAGTGTATGCATTGTTATCGAATAGAGGCTGCACATTTTCCACGTTGTGGGCATGCATTTCTTCCTAAATACCAGCCGCCTCTGTAGCGCATTTTTCCCACCTCAATCTAGGAAGTCATTTAGTAAATAAACCTAGTCTGGACCAGGCACACAAGTGATTAAAGAAGAGCAATCCGATCCAACTGGGTTGTCCTTTATAAAGACAAGCAGTTATGTTCTGGAGACCTTGTCTAACCCTGATCCCTTTGGTTTATCAGTGTGGAAAGTGTGATAAATCCAAGGCCTAATGTCATGGCATCATTGTTCAAATTTAGCTACATTTACTTATAAACCATGTCATACCTAAAGGCGTTCTCCTGTCCAGGTCAAGAATTGGTTTCAATTGAACAGATTGACTGACATGCCGCAATTATAAAGCTGGCATATGGCGTCGGTAAAAGACAAAGATGCAAATCATTACAAATTCAACAGTCAAATTGCATTCAAAATTAATTCCCATAAGGAAGCAGCTATTGTATTTCAGGATGAGACAGTGAGGGGTGGGGTTATTGTTTAAGACAAGCAAGTAAAGTTCTGTAATATAGGGACTTGATTATTTGTTTAGATTCACAATTCCTATACAATACTAAAGATCATCTGGATCTCTATGTTGATCTATTTACAGTGAGCAACGTTTGCCTGAAACAGATATCAACCTATTGTCCTGAAGCGTTTTTTTCAAAGTTGCGTTTTAACCAGGGTGGAATTGGACAGAAGCCGATGGAGAATGACCCCATGGGTCAGTCGCACTCCTTGAACCTACAGCACGGCATGTACACTTTTGTTTTGAGTACCACAACTGTTAAGAAATATAGCCCAAGGTCCTTCTTAGGAATGGACCCTTGAAGATCCGGGTTAAAATTGATCTTCAGTAACCCATGCTTGTCGTAAGAGGCGATTGACGGGATCGGGTGGTCAGACTCGGTTGCCTTGGTTGTCATCGTATCCCAATTGCGTAGATCGATGCTCATGTTGTTGACTGTCTGGTCCAGATTCGATTATTTACAGACCGCCACAATATAGCTGGAATATTGCTGAGTGCAAACTAAACTCACTCACTCACTCACTCTTAATAATGACATGGTACGTTACCTCCACAAGGGTACAGACGTTCAAGAGGAACTCACCTCATCCGGACCCATCTTTCTGCTGGTGACGTTGACACAGTACTGACATCCCTTGCACAGTTTCCCGTGGTACCAGAAATGACTCCACACCTTGTGGGTGCAGTTGCCAGGAAGTGGGCAGGGGAGATGGGGGCATTTCCCATCCTGGACATCCTGCAAGATAACCCGTGCTAGTGTTTTCGGATAAAGAACACGTTGACATTTATATTTCGATATCGTGAAGACATGAAACGACGAGACATAATAGGATGGCAGGAAGCCGACTGTTTGGGTCGATGATGGCAAAGTGGTTTGTGACATTGCTGTTCGTTAAGCAGAGTTGAGTACTTTAAATTTGTGAGGATCAGATGATTTATTTATTTATTTATTTATTTATTTATTTATTTATTTATTTATTTATTTATTTATTTATTTATTTATTTATTTATTTAGTTAGTTAGTTAGTTAGTTAGTTAGTTAGTTAGTTAGTTAGTTAGTTAGTTAGTTAGCCAGTTAGTTAGTTAGTTAGTTAGTTAGTTAGTTAGTTAGTTATCTATTTATTTATTTATTTTTGGTGGGGGAATGTGTGTGTGTGTATGTGTGTGTGTGTGTGCGTGCATGTGTGTAATCTTTAAACCTCGCAAAGACACGAAGGCCTGCGATGTCACGCCGGTTATAATGCTTAGGTCTCGTTTGTTCGCCAAGTGACGAACGTATATGACCTGTGTCACTTTGTTTTTTCTTCTCCCCATCGATGGTATTAAAATTCTGCAGTGATAGCAGTTTAATATGAGATGTTAACGTCAGAGAATAATCAAGTGCCCACCGAAACAGTTGCCTTTGGGCGAAATAGGGAAAGTTACGTAAATAGATCATTAAAATCAACGATGACATGAAGTGTTCCGAAAGGGCAAGCAGGTCCTGACCATGTTACACTATCATTGTAAGAATCTAAACTAATGATTACCCCAGGAAACCCGAGTAGGCAGCAACCTGTATGTCGATTTAAATGAATCAGTGAATCTACATGATGTCTTAAAATTAATGGAGACTGATAATGCTCCAGTTTGGAGAGTGATAATGCTCCAGCTTGGAGACTGATAATGCTCTAGATTGGAGACTGATAATGCTCTAGCTTGGAGACTGATAATGTTATAGCTTTCAGACTGATTATTCTCCAGCTTTGAGACTGATAATGCTCTAGCTTGGAGACTGATAATGCGCTAGGTTGGAGAGTGGTAATGTTCTGGCTTGGAGACTGATAATGCTCTAGCTTGGAGAGTGATAATTCTCTAGCTTTAAGACTGATAATGCTCTAGCTGGAGACTGATAATGCACTAGCTTGGAGACTGTTAATGCTCTAGCTTGGAGACCGTTAATGCTCTAGCTTGGAGAGTGATAATGCTCTAGCTAAGAGACTAATAATGCTCTAGCTTGGAGACTGATAATGCTCTAGCTTGGAGATTGATAATGCTGTAGCTTAGAGACTAATAATGCTCCAGCTTAGATACTGATAATGCTCTACCTTGGAGACTGATAATGTTCAGGCTTGGAGACTGATAATGCGCTAGGTTGGAGAGTGGTAATGTTCTGGCTTTGAGACTGATAATGCTCTAGCTTGGAGACTGATAATGCTCTAGCTCTGAGACTGATAATGCTCTAGCTTGGCGACTGATAATGCTTTACATGTGAGAGTGAGTGCTTGAGTGAGTGAGTGAGTTTTAACAGTGTTCCATTCATAACACGGTGTTTCGGCTTAATGTGGGAAGAACGCACCAACTGATGCAAGTATCAGACATTTATCACAGTGACTTTAGTATGTTTTACATTAAACTAGAATAAGAAACAGCTATACACCTTCTCTGTTGTAGTTTCTTCAGATGACAGACCCTCTGAAAATTAAGAAATAAATAATTAAATTTCATTCCAATATTCGTTGTTATTTTCGAGCTAAAATCCAAAGAAAACAATAAATTTGAATCTAACCAAAGATGAAGAATGATGATAATTTTTATAACTTCTTTCTTCAAACAAACAAACGAATCGATGTTCATGCATTATTTTTATCTTGATTGCTGAAAAATAAGACTTATGGGAGCGACCTTCAAATAAACTCCACGGATCTTGTTGGCCAGTCCATTTATATTTCCATGAACAAATATGTTTAAACCAACTTCGTTATTCTGAGAGAGGCGATGTTTCGACATAGATTATAATGTCGCTGTCAAAGAAGTGATCATCATTCTTCATCACTTCAACTTCTAAAATGCCCATCAAAGAAGTAACCGAAGGTGAATATGCAAAACAGAAATATCACTTGTTTTCTTTTATCGGATGGATCGAGAGTTCTACTTTCCTTGACATGGCTGTTTCTGTGCCGTGGGATAGTGTTCGTGGTATCGATCACCGGATTGTTTCTGCCACACGTAGTTATTTAGATAATGCTGTGAAACAGTTGGAATATTGCTGAGAATGGCGTTAAACAAGGATCCAACTGCAGCCAGCTTTTGTTGTATCAATGAAGCGTCAAACCCCACACAGAAGGGTGGTGGGGTAGCCTAGTGGTTAAAGCGTTCACACAACACGCCGATGACCCGGGTTCGATTCCCTTAATGGGTACAATGTCTGAAGCACATTTCTGGTTTCCCCCGCCGTTATATTGCGGGAATATTGATCAAAGCGGCGTAAAACTAAACTCACTCACTCACAGAAGGAACGTTGATCTGGAGTCTCGCTAGAATTGGAACCATATTTAGTTTAAAAAACCTAAGTCATAAATCTAGATTACCAACAATGCCCGATGTAATATTCCAGGTTTCAGTAACAAAGAACACGTTACTACATTTATGTATATCGTTTTCTTGTTCGTAAAAGGTCAGTATTATATTCCTTTGCAATGGGAATGATCAAGTATCATGTTACCAAGCAGTTGAGATTTAATCTTGGACTAACCATTTGGCTATATTGAGTGCCTTATCAGTCATCAATGTTTTGTATTCAGTGAAATATCGTTCACCGGTCCTGGTCAGTCGCCAGTAGTATGTCCGGACAATGATATTTGTTTGTTGTTTAACGCCGCAATTAACACCATTGCGATCTTGTTACGGTTGGCTGAACATAATTGGGGCTGGACAACCCAGTGGTTGACGTCATGAGCATCAAGACAGTGAGTGAGTGAGTGAGTGAATATGGTTTACGCCACTTTTAGCAAAATTCCAGCAATATCACGGCGGGGGACACCAGGAATGGGCTTAACACATAGTACAAATGTGGGGAATCGAACCCGGGTCTTCAGCGTGATGAGCCAACGCTTTAACCACTGGGCTAGCCCACCTCCCAGCATCACGATAGGGATACGACAACATTCATGCATCCCAACAACCGCCCCTTGTTGAAGAACATAGTTTAATTAGACCAATTATTAATCGGTCACTAATCCGGGGAACGAATATCAGGTACATAGTGTTACAAATAACTGTGCCTGAAGTTAATCTCTGGAAAAAAGAGTGTCCAGAATAGAAGGGGTTCGGACTGATGAGGTTACATAGCAGTAAACGCCACGTTGTAGTAGAAGCTGAAAGAATAACAAGGCAGGCCCTGTCGCTACTGACGCTGACCTATATGCCGGTGTGGCCTCTCCTGCTCAGAATACATGGGATAGGCCTAAGTAAACGACATATGGTAAACTGCTGAAGAAAAGACATGCATCTGAAGCCGACGTCTTTCCAAATAATATTTTGGACATTACTCAGACCTGTTTGTTCTGTAGATTACTGAATCAGTGTATTTGGTTTGACAATACCTACCTGTGTGGTGCGCAGTTAAGGAAAAGAAGATTACGGCCACCAAAACACTATAGGACAACATCGTCGTCAATGATAAGGTGAAATGACCCATTTGACGTGTTTAGTCAAGGGCGGATTACTCGTGTGTGTTTATGTTACATGATTCTGTCGGTAAATATTTGCCCGACGCCATTACAAGGGATCATGTTAAAGGTGTACGAACGAATGAATATAACGACCAATAACCCCGTTGTGAACTTACGGTTGTGTCGAGGTAAAGGCTTGGTTCTTGTCTGTCTCACAGTCCCTGAACCACATTATTTCCCTTCCACTCAGCCGTGTCCTCAATGCTAAAGCCCAAAATGATGCAAGTCTAGATCTCCTCAGGTTCCCAACTCCCTGGAACTCCTTTTTAATTGACCCGTGAAGGTCCGGTTTAGAATATTGATCTTCAATAACCCATGCTTGTCGTAAGAGGCTCGCTGACTTGGTGGACACATGTCATCGTATCCCAATGGCGTAGATCGATGCTCATGTTGTTGATCACTGGATTGTCTGGTTCATACTCGATTATTTACAGACCGCCGCCATATAGCTTGAATATTGCTGAGTGCGGCGTAAAAGTAAACTCACTCACTCACCCTTTTTAAATTTGGGTGGTGGGTAGCCTTGTCATTTAGGCGGGTTCGATTCCCATCATGGGCACAATGTTTGAAGTCCATTTCTGGTCTCCCCCGCCCTGATTTTGCTGTAATATTACTAAAAGCGGCGTCAAACAAAAAAATATAATAACCTCTCATTATTTTGGAAATTAATTTTGTTTTTTGTGTCGATCACAGAAAACTAACTTTTTTGCAGATCCTGACGAGTTTGGCAAAACTTTTTTTTGACTGTACAAATGTTATGATAAGATTCGGAAGACGTGGGTTCTGCATGTAATTCTTGAGTCTGAGACTTCTGTAAAATGTCATCTAACCAGACTCATTAGTGATTTTTAGTATCCACCATAAAATGCAGTCTCTTTATGCTTGCTTCCATACAGTGTTTGTGATTGGAAATACGACACCGCCATCGTGATGAACGCCTTATCGGTATTGGCATTTTTCAAACAGTTTGTGGGAGTAAGCCAATATGTTCAATTACTCTCACTCTCTGATTTTGCTGTGGAACGCTTGATAACATTTCTTATCTGAAATACTGCATGATATAAGGTTGAAAATTTCAACTCCCAGAGCGTAGTTTATAGAAATGTAGAACAACGACGTCGCGAGCTACAACCTCCGAGAAGCTGATCCGAGTTGTGATGGTTTTCAACAACCCATGCCTGTCGTAAGAGGAGAGACCCGTGAAGATCCGGGTTAAACTTGGTCCTCAGTAACCCATGCCATCGTAAGAGGAGTTAACGGAAATACTGCATGATATAAGGTTGAAAATTTTAGCCCAGATCTTAAACTTGGTCCTCAGTAACCCATGCCATCGTGAAAGGAGTTAACGGGTTCCGGTGGTCAGGCTTGCTGACTTGGTTGACACATGACGTGTCATCGTATCCCAATTGCGTAGACCGATGCTCATGATGTTGATCACTGGATTGTCTGGTCCAGACTCGATTATGTACAGACCGCCGCCACACCGCGTTAAGAAAACAACCCAACGTCAGAGAATGCTAAAACGATCAAGCAGTCAGGCATGGCATGGCTCGCAGACATTGCTTGCCAGTTGATATGATAATTGTGATGAACGCCGAATATATTGATCAGATTGCCTCAGACAGACACTGGTCTGGTTGTTCTGCACGTACATCTACCCGTGAAGATCCGGGTTAGAATTGATCTTCAGCAACCCATGCTTGTCGTAAGAGGCGACTCAGATGATCAGGTGGTCAGGCTCGCTGACACATGACATGTCATCGTATCCACATTGCGTAGACCGATGCTCATGCTGTTGATCACTGGATTGTTTGATCCAGACTGCATTAATTACAGACTGCCATAAAGCTGGAATATTGCTGAGTGCGGCATAAAACTAAACTCACTCACTGAACGTACATCTCAGAAAGAAAAACTGCAAAATCTTCTTGAAGGGCAGGTCTTGGGTTACAGCTGACGAGAACCGAATATCTTGATTCCAATTCGCATTCGCTTTTCATTTCGCTTACTGATCTAACCATTACTGAAAGAAAATATGTATCTTCATTTGAAGGTGAGTCTTTGATAGTGATATGCGTTTATGGTATTTGCTTAAAGAAATCATGGTACAAAGGGACTGATTTCTATACTATTATGACTCATGATCATATGTTTAGTTGCAGAACCCGTAAAGGTCCGAGTTAAAATATACTATCCCCAAAAAGAAACGCACTGGCGTTTTGTATTTTTAAAAATCTGTTAATTGCCTATTGTGTTCAAACAATCATGAAAATATGTAACAAAAGCGCTGATAACATGATTTTACATAATTGCACAAGTGAAAAGTCGACTTTGCCTGAAAATGTTGATTTTGATGAGATTACTTACAAGAATTAAAAAGTCATCGCCACAACGCAGCAGTTGTGCAGCAAAGAAATGCACTGTCTGGCTATAAAAATCCGTTTTGAGAAAGTTTCAAGGTCACATCACTACGCCAAGTCACGGAACATCGCCATTGAAAGAATGCACGCTGGTGATTGCCAATTTTCTGTTGCCAAGCGTCTTAATGTAAGTCTGACCACGATATCACTGCTTGCAGCTCGTTACAACCAAACAGGTATAACAAATGACCGTCCACGTACAGGCAGACCTCGAGTCACCTCTTCAGCCCAAGATCGGTACATCCGGGTACTACATTTGCGTGATCGTACTGCCACGTGTGAGAGCACAGCAGCCAGGGTGCCTGGACTTCGGAGGATATCCGGTCAAACTGTACGGAACAGGTTGAGAGAGATTGGACTGAGAGCCAGGAAACCCGGTGTCGGGACCATGCTACCACGTCACCATCGCGCTCAACGTCTCCGTTATCTACATTTAACCACTTGGTTGTATAGATACTACCTTCTTCTTCTCATGTACTAAAGTCTATTTGTGGACGAGTTATACATGTTTGAAAATACAACATTTTCGCAACAGATTTCTGCGTGTCTTTTTTGGAATAGTATATTATACTCGATTATTTACAGACCGCCGCCATATAGCTGGAATATTGCTGAGTGCGGCGTAAAACTAAACTCACTCACTCATTTAGTTAACTGTATACCTCGACCGTCTGACCTTAGACATCATGAATATTATATTTCACAATGCATTGATTGTTGGGCTGTTTTTGGAATGGTTTGGCTGGTTTGTTGTTTAACGTCGCGCTCAGCAATATTCCAGCTATATGGCGGCGGTCTGTAAATAATAGAGCCTGGACCAGACAATCCAGAGATCAACAGCATGAACATCGATCTACGTAATTGGGATACGATGACATGTGTCAACCAAGTCAGCGAGCCTGACCACCCGATCCTGTTAGTCGCCTTTAACGACAAGCATCGGTTACTGAAGACCAGTTCTAACCCGGATCTTCCCATGATGTCTTCCTAGAACGGATAACACAGTCGATAACAACTTCTTTGACTAAAAAAACCTTGTTATCCGTATACCTTTGCATACCTTTCAAACTCACATTGAAAATAAATATCTTCTTTGTTGTACAGTTGTACTTGAGTATATTTCGCTCATATGACAACGTGCACGCGTCTGTATGTGCGGCTCCTTGTACTAGCCCAGACTTAAGCTGGTTTTATAGTGCTAGCCCACTGAGATACCATGCCGCAGTTAAGCATGAATACCCCACTCAGACACATTATACTGACTCCGAGCCAACCAGTCCTCGTTGTACCCATTAATCCCGAGCGCCAGGCAGGGACCAACAAGTACCATATTTTAACGTCTTTTAGTAAGATGCGGCCGGGAATCATACCCGCGACCTTCCGCTCTAACTACTACACCACGGAGGCGGCCTTCGTCGTGCAGCACAGAAGTGTTCACTGTCAATGGACCCATAAGGCTTAATTTACCAGGAGTTGTTCAAAAACTGTGGCTGATGTAACACACGATCTATTTGGAGTTACACATTCTCAGTAAATTACAGATTCTAGTACTTTTGTTGGGCAAACCGAAACATGAGTCACATTAACCAAGTCAGACAATGACCTACTTTTCAGTGTGAAAGTGAAAAAAGACAGTACAAACAGCTATGGTTACACCAAATTCCAATTCCTTGTTTCATAAGAAAATGGTATTTACAAATGAATTTTAATTTTGAACTTTGAAAACTCGTATTTCTGTATTTTATGGTGAGGTTAACTGACTGACTGACTGAGTTTGGTTTTACGCCGCTTTTAGCAATATTCCAGCAACATCACGGCGGGGGACACCAGAAATGGGCTTCACACATTGTACCCATGTGGGGAATCGAACCCGGGTCTTCGGCGTGACGAGCCAACGCTTTAACCATTAGGCTACCCCACCGCCCCTATTTGATGAGGTCGTAAAATGATTCACATTTCATCTGGCTCAGTGGTTACACCTGTTATGTGTTCTTTGCGCTCATTCGGAGTATTTGTGTAACGTACAATGTGATTGATACAATATCAAGTACGTACCAGACCGCCAAACATTTCTAGCGGCCGAGCCTCGATTTGAGATTTCCACGATTTCCAGATTTCCGTTTGTCAGAGCACACTGTACGACAGAACACGCTGCACACCGCGTTTCAAAGGATTAGAAGAAGCGTAGTGTTGCAATATACAAGTGATTAGATGTATCAAATAAAACCGATTAATATGTATACATCCAGTTGAATGAGTTGGTTTCAAATTTTGGACTGGTTATTTTACTAACGTGCGCAATAGGACGGAACCCAGTCAGCAGGAAACGAGACTGTTGTGTTATCAATGTTTTGACTCGTGATTCACACACGGGAAGATGCGATGGCTGAGTGGGTTAGATAGCTGACTTTATCTGCTGGCGATTAGGTGCCTGACTCTGAAAGTGGGTTCGGATGCCGAATGGGGCTCAACCCAACAAAAGTACTTTAGAATCTGTCCTTTACTGAGAAAGTGTTATTCAGAATATAACATGTGTTACATTTGACCTCTT